ATAAAACAAAATAATATAAGCTAAAATAAAATAACAAAAAACAAAAAAATAAATTATAACAAAATAAAAGAAAAAATTATATAAAAGAAAATAAAGTAAAATAAAATGGTATGAAATAAAACTTAGAAAATTAATATGAATTAAAATTAAAATTAATAAGACAAAGTAAGATAAGATATAATAAATTAAAAAAGATATAAAAATTAAGTAAAATGAATTCATATAAAAAAATTAAACAAAGAAAATTAAGCAAAATTAAATTATACTAGGTGAGTTTAAATAAAAGGTATAAAATTTAATAAAATAAAAAAAATTTGAAAGGATAAATTAAATCAAAACAAAATAAAAATAATTTGACTTTAAAAAAATAATATGATATATGAAAAAATTGAATTTAAATAAGCAAAACAAAAATTTAGTAAGAATTAGAAAAAATCAAATATAATAAAAATAAATAAAATTGAAATTAGGAAAGAGATATTATAAAATAATTAAATTATAAGTAAGTAAGAAAAATTAAATAAAATAAACAAAAGAAAATTAAATGAAAATCATTAAATTTAAATAAGTGAAAATAAAATGAGATAAAATAAAAGAGTAATTAAAACTAAAAAAAATATAAGCAAAATAAAAATAAACTAAAATATGAAAACTACAATAAAATATTATTTTATAAAATAAAATAATAAAAAATAAATTAAAACTAACAAATATTAAATGAAATAAATGTAAAACATAAAATAATCTAAAAGAGATTACAAATAAATATTTTAATATATAATTTTGATGTGGCATTCCATGCATGTATGATGGACAAAAACTGAGTAAGCCCACCTTAGCGCATATGCATGCTTGCTGTAGTAAGCTGGGAGCTATAAATCATTGACGCTTGTACACTTTCGACAGGTTTTTACTTCAACATACACCGTATGAATAACTTGATAGCAGCTATTCTCTGATACTGCTTTCATTGCTACTACATTCATATGGCACTTTCTTGTTGCCGGTAAACAGTTGTCAACAACCGAAGTTTTGTCTGTAATTGTGTGCTCGCGTTTTATTATGAAATATGTCTCATGTTTACCATTGTTTCGTACTTATTTTAGTGTCGTCTTTTCAGAACTTTGGTTTACGTGTATTTTAGAAATACTAAATTTCCGAATTTTCTCTTCTTGTTTTTGGCAAGTACATACCTGGTTGATAGGAAATATAGAAAATCACATAAATCATAAAATATTTTGATGGAAATAATTTTAAAAATTACTTGGCACCAAAAAATCTTAAAGATGAGTCGAAGAAAAACTGAGCTCAACACAAGTAAATAACAACAGCATTCCGCTATTATTCTCTATCAAAGCTTGTTTGTTTAGTAAAGGGTTAAATAAAATATTTATATAGAATTTGCAATTATCTTAACCCTTTTCAATTTTCACATAAATCACGAATATGCACTTAAATTGATAAGATTTAAATATTAAGTTGCTGCTCTTTGTTTGCTTCAATACCGCAAGTATTATGCCATCTAGCATTTCAGTGATTTCCTGTGCACATCCTTTGAAATGCGACTAAGTTAGTGCTCCTCCACATTTTTACAAAGTCAGGAAATAAATACAAGGCTCTGTGGCTCTGTTGCTCCTTATCCATCGCTTACCTGCAAGCAGTCAAGCACAGAGGTATTATACTCATTGAAAAATATTTATATCAATACAAATAAACAGGAAGACAGATGCCGTATAAAATGCTATAGGTTAGACGAAGGTGAGGCCACTCTTGTCCTGGCTGGTGGCTTGTGTAACTTCCGCGTTTGCTCGAAAATATGAAATGCGCTTGCACTGCCGGAAGATGAAGGGAAATTGGATTTTTGTCGCTACTGTAGTATAAATATCCGGTAATAATTTATATTTCTTTATTTTTTGCCCATCACTTAAGTCTAAGTAGTAGCGAAATTGTTGCGGCGTAATAATAATAGAAAAGATGCTTGTTATGTGAACGTCTGGCGAGAGGTGAATGTGGAAGTAAATATGTACTCATAGTAATGATTTCTTGAAGGTAAACGGTACTTAAGTACATATATAAATATATCTATTTTTCTATTTTCTTATCAAAATTAAAGGTTTAAGCATTTTTGTGTGTGAGCTACGCGAATGTATGACTGACTCAAAAATATTCAGATAAGTGGGGAGAGTAAAGACTCTGATACTTTTACTTTTGCAATATAGATTGTAGTTGCTTTACCTTAAACACTTATAAAAGTCACAGTGCCTTGTTTGAGAGTTTTAAAATCTCACTCTTTTATTATTAAACTAATTTTTTAATCTTTGTTCACACTTCCTCATTGCTCTCTTAAATAATAGTAATAATAAAAATAGCAGCTGCACTTAAACTAAACGAAAAATAAAAGAAAATATTTTTATTGTACTATACATCCCACTTGCTAGCGTAATTCCATTAAATTATTTTATGATGCAACCATTCCGCATACGATATTAAGTTCTACGCATTAATAAGAGTGTTTTATAGTCCATTTGGAGTGTACGTGTATCAGCGCATAATTCATGCATGAAATCAAAAGCATAAAAACTGATGGTTCCTATAATAGAAATTAAATAAAAATATAAAAATTATATTTATACAGTTAACTCAGCAAAAGCAAGTGTAGTTCTCCAGTATATACGTATGTAGGTATATCATTCATTGCCTTTACGATTAAACTTACATGTATTAAAACCAAGGCTGAATCGTTACGATAAATTTCACATTAAACAAAAATTTCAATCGTTTCGGTTGACATATTTGTAAAACCTATCGTTAACGCAGTCATCAAAATAAATTTTATCGTTTTTACCCGAAACGAAGAGCTGTCGTTAGAGTATAATGTTAAATCGTTAACATATAATGCTAAATCGTTAACATATAATGCTAAATCGTTAACAGGTTATGTTAAATCGTTAACATATAATGCTAAATCGTTAACATATAATGCTAAATCGTTAACAGGTTATGTTAAATCGTTAACAGATATGGTTAAACGTTAACAGATAATGTTGAGTCGTAAACAGATAATTTTGAATCGTTAACAGGTTATGTTACATCGTTAACAGAAAATACTAAACGTTAACAGAAGATGTAGAATTCTTAACAAAAAATGCTAAACGTTAACAGATAACGTAAAATCATTAAGATATAATGTTAAATTTTTTACAGATAACGTTAAGTCGTTAACAGATAATGTTTAATCGTTAACAGATATGGTTAAACGTTAACAGATAATGTTATATCGTGAACTGAGTATGCTAAACGTTAAAATTTAAATTCGCTGCAAAGAACATAGCTGGCCGGCAGTCATTTTTACATTAACGTTAACGCTTAGCTTGTGCGTTTCAAACGAAGCAATTTCTTTTCGTTCGATGACATGACGTTAAATTTGTTAAGACCTTCTAAGAACTTTGTGATTCAAACATGACCACATTCCGTGCCTTAAGAAGAGATTATGGTTAACATAATCGCTAATTAATAGCGATATTGCAAGACTAAATTAATTTTAATTATTAACGTTTTGCACGCCATATGCCGCTACCGTAAGAGAAAATGTAGTTGAGGACCCGAATGTGTATATTACTCGACGTTCTCAAGAGACGGGACTTTCTTACGATACACTATGGTATGTTTAGCACATGGACTTATACGTCCATCATCCATATGAAGTCCAGTTTACACAACAACTGAAACAAGCTGACCATTAACAACGCCAAGCGGCAAACGGAACAAAACTTTTTTCAGCAACGAGTCACAACGGCGAGACTATCACAACCAAGTTGTAGCGTTATGGTTGTGTGATAACCGCCTTTTTTGTCATGGGGCATGTAATCTCTCATTTCGCGATGTCGATTTGCCGCCGAAATTGTGTGATTTAACACCTTTGAACTTTTTCTTTTTTGGGCTACATGAAATCCCATGTATATGAGGATGAACTGTTAACTCTTGAGCTCTTGAGAACCAACATTCGTCAAGGTTTGGCTGGGATACCGCTCAATAAGTGCAAAAAAGTGATCAAGTATTTCATTAACTGAATCGAAGTTTGAAAAAATTTGCGAGGCGGTCATTTGTATGATGTAGTGGTTCACATACTCGTATAATGCCAAAGTTCAAACTTTATAAAAAAAAGGAAAACTTATTAAAATATTATTTTAAATACATTTTTTATGTCTATTTTCGAAACTGCAAAATATCGTACTAAAAATCACCGCAGTCGAAATTACTCAAAAAAAAAACATTAGCTAAAAATCATTGAAATTGAGGTTTGAGTTTTTTGCCATAAATTTCTAATGTTCTTGAAAGCTAAAAAGACTTTTGAATTGCCGTGTTGGACTCCATTATTTTTCGGCGAAAGCGCGAGCATTACTCCGCGATTTTCATGTTGAGATTATTCTCCACGGCAGCATTATAATTATCGCCTTTCAAGAAGAATGTATTATTTTATCTAAAATTAAAACAGGTTCAAACTTTTATTTGTTTGTTTTAAAACACTATTTTATATATTGTTCAGGATTGACTTGCTCTGACGTCTGATTGACTGCTTCAATTTAAAATTATTTTAATTTTATTTATACAGCATGGGATATATCATGATTAGAGAAGTATTGAATAGCAAAATTTCTTGTAATAATATTTTTTTTTTGCGAAAATACCTTTTTTTAAATAAATACTAATGTGCTGACTTTACTTTAATAATCGCAATAACACCTACGGCTACTGCTGCATTTTCAATTTAATTGCATGCAAATTTTTAATAAATTTTTTAAATGCCTCTAAGTAATTTTTAACAATTATGCACTAATTATGTAAATATTATTTGCGTTTTTCTTTTCTTTTTTTACTTGCAGATGTGCTAACAAAAAAGAAAAAATTAAAAAAATTTAACATATGCAAACAACGTTTATAAAATTGAGCAAAATTACATTTTAAATAAATGCAGCGCCGCCTTCCGCATAATCAATAATTAAAAGAATTTTTTTCCAAAAAAAAAAAATAAAAATAAAAAATAAAAAAAAATGCAACAGTCGCCTCCGCCGTTGGGCGAAAGCCTGCAAAAATGCAAAAAACAACACTAACACCAACAACACCAACTACTAAGGCAGGCATGTATGTGTGTGTATAACGCATCAAGAGCCATTGACCGATAGCTAACCATCATCAGCAGTGAAATAATTATGTTTGCTGACGCGCAAAGGGGGTTATTCTAGTTCGTGCAATAACACCAAGTCATTGGCAATAATTGAATTGAAACCAAATACCATAATTCTGATGTCATATGTTATTGCGAAGGCGACTGTGACTGCCCCTTTTGCTTTCACTCATTATTGGCGGAGTGATTAACATTGTATGTTTGTTTAGGGCTTTCGCGTGTATGTCGAATTTAAGAAGTAATCGATATTAATTAAATATTGTGGCACGCAATGTAGCAAATAGGCGACGCTCTTACAGCAAAGTGTAAAATATAAGCCGAAATAATGGGAAAAGGCGTTGAATAAGTGCCAAAAATATTTCGAGCCAAATATCTAAAAAAAATATCTATGTATAGATTATTAAAAGAGCAGCAAAATGTGTGTCTACGTATAAAATTAAAAGCAAAAATAAATAAAACAAATTTAGAAAAATGTGGCAACACACTTTCAGACACCGATTTAATTTTTCAACTTTACAGTTGGTGCATTTTGAGGCTGGCTTAGCATCTTCGGCCGTCACGAGAATCGAAATCAATATGTCGAGCTTTAAACGTAGCCAAGAAAAATATTAAATACTAATTTTATAATGTATAAAATTAAATATAAATTTAAAATTATTTAAATGTAAATGTTAATGTAAAGATCCAAATGCTGGTTGAGCCAAAAGCATTAAAAATTAATTAAATACTTAAAATTTGAAAAAAAAAAAAAATTGAAGAGAAAATAATAATTACTTATAAAAGTGTCAAAAGTGAATATACATCAAACTTTGTTACCTAATTTCATATAAAATAAATAAAAAATATAATAATCATTTAATCAAACCCAACAACAAATAACCACTTCTAAATACGAATTACATTCACTTCGTTGAAGCCAAAAATATGTGTTCCACTTAACTATAAGCAAAACGAAAGGCCAAACGAAGCCTTAATAATAGCAAAATCAACTGCAACAACAACAACAAACTCTCCCCACCATCACACACTATGGCCGGTCCACAAGTGCAACACTCACATTCGCAGCGCCCAAACAGCGCCTACTACATGGGTTTAAATGGTGGTGGAGGTGGCAGTGGCGGTGGCGTTAGTGGTCATCATGTCGTCGGCGGTGCCGCGCATACACACACAACAACAGCAACGAGTATGAGCACAAGTAGTAGCGCGCACACAGGTTTGCATGCGCTGCGTCATATGTCCAACGACATGGAGTTAATATATCGCGGCAATAGCTCCAACGCAAGCCATCAAGCAGCACAATCCGCTCTGTCATCGCATGTCATCCAGCAACAGCCCACCGTTGTTGCGTCGGGGACAATAATGGCGAGCAGCAGTAGCGGCGCTTTAGCTGGTGTTGACAGCGGCGGTCAGATTGCTGGCATAGCTAATGTCGGGCAAGGGGCCAGTGATGCTTTAATTGTTCCTTCAAATGCTGCGTTGAAACGCAACAATTTGGCGTCGTCCAAAACGGCACAACGCAGTGTGGAAATTGTCGTCGATGCGTCGCAATGTGGCACCGATGCTGATGGTGACGGTGACGGTGTGGATGGTGACGGTACGGACGGCAAGTCAGGAGATGACGTCGAACAGGGCCGTCGTGTATCGAGGCATCGGCGCCGGCCATTGCATCGTCGGTTTTTCAATTACCTGCGAAATTTGTTTCAAGGCAACGCCGCACAGAATGGTAAGTGAAATTGTGTGTGAATGGGGTGGTGTATGGGATTTTTTCTGTTGAAGTGTAGGAAATCAGTGTACAGTTGTTTGAATGCTTGTCTTTTACAAAAGCTTTTAAAACGCAAGAGCCAAGATCCAACAGTTCGTTTAGTCATATTTATTTGCATAATTTCTTCATTGCGACTGTATTAAATTTTTAGAAAACCAAATTTCGATATCAACCAAAAATTATATTGCCCAAGCAAAGTCTTGTAGAACCTCGAGGGGTGAGCTAGTGACATATGCCTAAAGTATACTGAATCTATGGAAGAACACTTATACGGCTGTGTAAACTGACGTTAAGCAACAAAAAAAACCTCCATCAGAATCGGGAAGGACAGAGCCGTTCGATACCAAATGATGTTTCAGACAAGATGACTCTTTATCTTGTAACTTTTTTAATCTATTGAAGATTCCACAAACATCATTACATCGAATTCTGCGTATAGACTGGGATTTATAAAGTTCAATTAACAGAAGAATTCACCGTTCGTGTCTTTGCTGATTGGGTCCTTGAAATGCACTAAAATGAACCTGTGCTTCATTGAAAAATGATTGAAGAGGATTAGTTTCACCTCGATGGCTGCGTCAATAAGCAAAACTGTCACATCTGGGTCTCGGACAACCCAAGACTTATTGTTGAAAAGCTTCTCCAATCTCATCGTGTAACTGTTTGGCGCAGTTCATGGTCCGGCAGGGCCAGTGGACCATACTTTTTGAAAATGAGATTGGAGTAACAGTTACGGAGAATGGAATGTGCTATCAAGAGATGAGTAATGATTTTTTATCGACGGAATTTATTGTTATTGATCTGAATAACGTTTACTTTAAACAAGACAGCGCTACATGCCCCACAAGCAATGAATCCATTACTCTTTTAAGGGAAAAGTCTCCGAACCGTATTCTCTCTCGAAGAGGGAATCGCAATTAGCCACCGAGATCTTGTGAATTAACAATTTGCGACTTCTTCCTTTGGGGCCACGTGATAAGATAAGGTCTACAACAATAGGCCCCGATTTGAGACCTCAAAAATGGAACTCGTGAGGCTATTTGGGGCTATTTGAGGGCATGCATCTGGAATGGTCGGTCACTTAATTGGTATCTTTTACAGCTGGTTGATGTTTAAGTTAAGTAAAAGGCTGGCATCACCAAGAAGTGCGAAGGACGGAAAAAGTCAAGGTTTCTAGGCGAGCAGACCAAAATAAATCAGAAATTACTTCTTTAACATTTCAATGTAACCGTTTACAACGGGAGTTCAAAAAATCAATATTGAATGATATCCCACATGCAGAAACACCTCAGTGCTTTTTACTTTGAAATAAAAGCCTCATACATCGTTAGCTCTCTAATCTGCGCGCATGTAAAAGTTCTCCCTTCAAATTTTGAGCAGTCAAAGCTTGCATTATTCTCATTAGTAATTTTCAAAACGTATGAAATGAGTTTCAACCTTATGTAGGGTAGTGGCAATAAAATTTTTGTACAGAAAGCGTTTGAGAAACATTTTAAATTCAACCAATCAGCAGTTTTTTTTAATTGATTTTGCTTTGTAAAATTTTCCTTTGCGTGTTTCGTCCCACTCACATAGAAAGCGTCACAACTTGGACTATCTCATAATGGCTACCTTAAGAATTTGACCATGAGCTTTTTGTATCGTTACTGCGAAGCATACTCTAGGCAGGAAACTAAAGAGCGATTACAACATTTGGAAAGGGTGATTTTATCTAGGAATAAATACAGTTTCTTCTTGGAAACAAATTGTTAGTATAGTCCGGATAACACTGTTATGCACTGTTATTTCCTATTTTCAGCAACTGCTGTACGGCAATAACATCTCCTCTTAAATAAATTCTCGTATTTTTGGTGAGACTCAGTTTTTCACTGAGTGCCAGGAATGAGTTTACTTCTCTCATGCTTTAGCTTCGTTCGCTCGCGTTTCCTTAGGCACTAATGGAAAGCTCTGCCGGAAATTGCCTGATATAGCAATACATTAACTACTCCAAATCGAGGCAGCAATATCGGATGAGAAGTCTTGTCTGTTTCACTAGAAATACCCAAACAAAAAAAGTATTTCCAGATGCTGTTTCGATGCTTACACGTCTTCTGCAATAGATATGTTTTTATTCATTTGTCAGAGAGCCGTAACTACTTGATACCACTTTTGCAATGAAATTTATATCCCAAATGTCGCCAATGGTATTTTATGCCGGGGGAGATATCTGTACCAGATTTTATACAAATCAAACGATAAATACAAATGTTTCGAATAGATCAGCGCAAGGTCCACTTTCTGGAAGAAAAAGTGTTCTGCATATCAAATGGGACAAAGAGTTACTTGTGTACCAAGTTTCATGCTAATCAAACGATTTAAAAATAAATTAAATTTTTTTTTATAGATCGGTCCGGCTAAACGAAGCTTCCTACATCGTACGCAGAACAAGCTTTCTAAGTTTCAGATCTCTAAGATCAACGGTTGGGGTTGATCCGTCAGTCGTTCAAGATCAGGTTTTCATATAAAACTATCAGACGCAGTAAACTTCGCTTCGCCTTAATTACACGCCTTTATATTGCAATAGGAGTGATAATAAAATATTTGTAGATATTTTAAATCTGAATGTAAATTGTTTGAATGAAATCGATGGTTTGTCATCAGCCGAACAGTTCTCATAAAATAGCTTAAATTAAACTAAGAAATTTCAGATAAGAAAAGTTGGGCTGCTTGAACTTTACGAATGATAAAAAAAACTTCCAGCGAATTTAACCATAAATAAGATTATTAAGAACCAGTTTCTGAATAAGCTACCAACAAAATAACTAAATTGAATCTCGCTTTAATCGGTCGCCGAGATTCTCTTACGAAAGTTCAGATTTATTACGGTGCAGCCGTTATCAATGCAGGAGAAACTATAAATTCTTTTCAACATAAGGGTTTCTCGTTGAGCGAGATCGCAGATGTCTAGTTCTGGGAATTGTTTTTGTCTCTCACTTGGATACAACATATCTATTCTGCATAATTCTTTAAAATGACCATGGTCATAGCGCACGTTATGGAATTGCTCGGCTGTTATGCACTTAAATGCAAGGAAACGAATGCCGCATATTCACGGGCATGCCTTTCAACAAAGTTTCTGCTTAAGTCAACGAATTATGCCATCTATCGGCCAATCAAATATCTGCTCGGTGACTCTTGGTCCATTTTTCAAAATTTTTATATATTAATCCAAGCCATAGCAACGATTTTTTCGAATTGATCGGTCCCAGGTACTATTCCTGGAAACAAACGTAAACTAAGCAAAAGCCGACCTATGTATCAAATTTCAAATAAATCGAACTATAAATCCAAATTTTTTTTAAATTTATCAGTCGCAGGATCTGTTCTGGGTGAGAAAAATAGATGTTCTGTAATTCTCAGACCTACTGAAAATACACACAAAATGTCATTAAAATCGTTCAACCCGTTTCGGAGAAGTATCGTGTCTAACACTGTGACACAAGAATTTTATATATTAGATATATATATAGTAAATTGTTGCTTTATAACCGATGAAGTGACTTTTTTTTTAGTTTATACTAAGCCGCCTACAAATGACCCCAGAACTCTGATCAAACTCACTTAGGCCTGTTGGCCCGTTGTGATACCTATATTCGGTCTTAATAAAGAGATTTCTTATTAATGCCCATCACAGTAGCTACGACCAGTTTTAGACGCAAAGGCGTTAACTCCAAGTCCTTCACTTCTTAAGCCTGCAATCTGTCCTCTTTCAAATTTCGACAGCTTCTTTCCTCTAGGCAATCGAAGTAATAATTATTATGAGCTTAAATAAAATAAAAATTTTAGGGAAAGTTTTCACTAAACACAGCTCCAAATTGAGACAAATACTAACACTCTTATCATTCTGCAACATGTGTTTAACTCCTTTTCCTTTTTACTGTCTAAAGTGTTACAGTGAGGTCCCAACATTTGCTTTTACCAATGTTGCCAATCTCAATTTCTTACTGGTTACCAGTAGCATCTAATTTTTGAACTGTCTTATTGCCACATATTGCCACAGAGTGTATTAGATATAGAGATTATTGTCAAAGGGGAAAAATGGAAAAATATTTATAAATACTTCGAAACGAGAGCTTATGGGTGAAGTTAGTTAACTTCATTAGGTTCAGTGTATTCAAGTTAGACGTGCTCGTCGCAACACTGCCCAACTGGCCAATCAGCAACAAAGACTACTCACAAAAGTACTTTGCACGAAACCTTAAACCATGGCAAAATGCAAAATTTCACATTGCATAATACCAACGTTTTTGATCAGAATAAACACAACAATAAAGCTTAATTGCGCATAAATCATTTTTAACAACGAGCGATGAGTGTGATGATAGGCGCCGCAGTGCTTACACATGCACACACTTAACTCCAACTGCAACCCATGGCACATGGTTGTGTTCATGCTTTGTGTGGTATTAACAATATTGTGCTCGTTCACGACAATAACGTCAGATAAATGCATCGAGTACGTACATACATGTAAACAATGGCATACAAAGTCATTGATGATAAAAGAAGACACACTTTTTTTCGAAATGCGCGTGTATGACGACACAAACAAATAATAATTAAAAACGTACGTTTATGTGGGCATGCGCAAGTACATTATCATAACATACATCCATATGTATTTTTAAATGTACCACAGTAAACGAGATTATTTGGTCCCAATGGTGGTGAAAGCACTGTTTGGTTCTCCTACTAAGAAACGGCTTTCTCATATCTGAGCTACACACGAAAGCAGTCGAAATATCGATTAATTTAATGAATATTAAGCTTTTAATCTTCTTATCTCTGACGACCACTCGGATACAGGAAACGCTGCATAAATTTAAGAAATGGCTTTTAATTATAAACAACAAAACGGCGGGGGTCGATAGAATACCAGTTAAGCTAATCGAATAAGAAAGTTATGAGCTTATGTGCTAAAT